TCAGTCATTCATCAAAACAAAAAGGTAAATATTGACTGGTGCTGTGAGGAAGAGCAGCTCTTCTCTGTAGACTTTATATCTTTAAGATACACAATGTTTAATTCAGTCGCTGAACTCTTGAATATGATTTAGCTTCAGATTAGAACTGCAAAACTGGTAGCATTGAAACTACTAAATGAATTTTGCATTAAAACGCTACATTTTATATTATATCTGCTATTTGGTGACACTTCACACGTGTTGTTATTTATTTAAAAATGACCACAAAAACACATTCATATTAGAGCATCTGAGCCACCTGAAAGAATGAATAAATGATGCTTTGGTTTCACTAAACTGAGAACGAGTTTGATATAAATTGAAACCTGCTGCAGTTAAGATAAGATGGGACCATCCTTATGAAAGTGCATTTATCGTTAGCGTGTGGCTAAATATCTGCTGATGAAACAAGAAATATCCTCCAATGAGAGGAGCGAGAGGAGCGAGAGGAGCGGAGGCCAGGCCGTCTGCTCCTGAACACTTTCTGGTGTTCAATCAGAGAGACTCAGCTGATTGGATTCTACGATTCTCTTCATTGATAAATGCTTCCAAATGAAAACAATGGAAGCAGAATCAAGAACAATCAAACAGTAATGCACTGCAGCACGTGTGTGTGTGTGTGTGTGTGTGTGCATTTTCTACACAGATCTCTCTGCATCCACTGACTTTACTTACTGTATCTCACTTTGTCTCTTTCTTTCTCTCTCTCTCTCACACTCACACTCACACACACACACACACACACACACACACACACACAATACCAAGGAGGTATACAAGCACCATCTAGTGCTTTATTCTGGAAATTGCTCAGCAGAATGTCAGAAATGTGTTGAAAGAGTCAGATTCCCAAAGCAGAAGGACGGTAAATACATGTTTCATCACATAGTGACAGTAAAATACAATCAGGAGTAAACCCACCACATTCAGATCATCTGGATTAATGCAAAACCATAAAATACACCGATTGACTCGATTTTAAACTGCTCCTCCTGACCACCGTGACCTCTGACCTCTCTGGTGAGATACATGTGAGAGCAATAAACACATGTTGCCTAAAATGCCTAACAGCATCGACAAGTGACTTTAAAGAAAGAAGCATTAAACCTCCACCAATCTCTTGGTTTCCTTTCAGAAATAAACTTTTTTTAAACCAAATATTTAATTAATGATCAACGGAGTCAAACAGTGTATCCGGTGGAAACTCTGTGTGTGTGTGTGTGTGTGCATGACATAGTTAAATATATAACAGCAGCGTTAGTCATGCACCTCCTTTCCTCAGCCTTCACAGATAAGAGGAGGATGACGGTGGAAACATGGAAACATGGACTAGTTTCCACAAGGATTTATCTGTGATCATCACACGTCTCTAACCTGAAGCAGTTCTTCATCTGACGGAGACAGGTACATGAAGAAAGACACGTTTCCTACGCCGCAAAATGCCAAATATAATTTGAAAGAATGATGATGTAGTCCCCAAAAAAGATTCTAGGCAATAAAAAAAAAAGTTGAAAAGGTTTTTGTCCGAAGCAAAACTAACGTATACGAGAAGTTTACTGGTTACTGTTTTGAATGCCGAAGACCAGGCATTCTTGATCAACATCACCTTTCAGGTGGACAGCAGCACCCTCAGGAAGACTTCCGTTCAGTGTGGACCGGGTTGCAGGACATGGTAAAGGAGGGCCTCTACTTCTGGGTCAGTGGTGACAAAATCAATAGTGGTGTTATTTACTGGAAGCCCAAGGAGCCAAACAATGTCATCGCCTCCTGGGACATAGACCAGGCAGGACAGGACTGTGTTGCCATTGTCCCGCCTGGACGCATTGGAGAGGCGCATCGGTTAAACTCCTGGGATGACATCGTTTGTGCCGCTAAACGGCACTACATGTGTGAGACCACGGCTCTCCATTTGTCCTGACCGACAGACCTGTGATGGGGCTGCATGTTGTTGGTGATGTGAAGGAAACTTACATTCAGTTTGAGTGAATATGCTTTATTGACGGGACTATTGCCAAAGCGTCTCTCAGGCTGAATTTGCTGGTGTTTACTCAAAGCACGATCGCTGGTGTAGGAAACTACCAGAATGTTCACTCTAAAAAGCTCAACGTCAACATTGCCATCCTCAGTCCAACACCTTTTCAAAGTTGAGTCAACAAATATCTTTGAAAGAAGTTGTACAAACCCAAAATGTCAAGTTTACTAATAAGTAGATATTGGTTTGGGCTTCTGCTGAGCTAACTAAGGCCACTGCATGGGTAGATGGTAGACGTCAGTAAACATGTTTCTTATCTTTTCCTTGCCTTATAGGATTTGGATGCAGTGCATCTCGCAGAAGAAAGTGTGGTTTCCATTCTACTCTTTCCTTTTTTCACTATGTCTTTAACTTCAAACCTCTTGTTTCAAAAGAACTCAACTCCCGCTGGAATACATGTCCTTTCCTGTTGATCACATTTAAACGCCCGGCGCACCACGTTGCTTTGTCCGACGCGCTTTATAAAGGCATTATCTAAGATTAAAAAGCTTAGTCTGCAGCCACGCGTCTCCGTCTGATCGGAGCCACTAACGTCAGAAGAACAGTCTGCAGACAGAGACCGTGTTCAAACTACTCAAAAGTGATTGAATTAGACGTGTTCATTTATTTGAGACGACGATCGTGACGCTGACGTTCGCTCCATAAACACACTAGAACAGAAAGATAAAAGCCGCCCGTCAGACTCCATGGTTTAAAAAGCCTCGCTGACACACTTACCTAAGTGCACCGTATTAATAGTTCCTTTGACCTGCTCTGAAGCAGTTATCACCGTAGATTGGTTATGAAAGTATTCATGTTCCTCAGTGAGCTGCTGTTTGTTATCTGAGGCTTAAAGTCCCGTGTTGTTGTTTGACCTCCACTGTGCAGAATGATGTATCTGTGCAGTTTGACACGAGGCCGCTCTGCTTTCACATTTATCTTCTGAAGCGTCTGCGCTCAGCTTCGATCTGAGTTTAAGACGTGAGCGTGAAAGGATGATGTGTGACACGGACAAGTTGTGAAAGCTCGTTTTCAAGCCAATTATGGTCAAATATGCAACTTACCGACGTACCGCTCGTACTCTGAGAGTTACCTCGTCCATGAAGGAGGAAACATCTTCTGAAAAATATTTGCATATTTATGATTTCTGCATTTCTCAATGAGGGAGAACGATGAGACGTCATTTTAAGGATCTTTAACAGTCATTTCATTTTTTTTTGTGGAGGAACCATCAGACACAAATTAAAAGTATTCCAGCAGAGGTTGTTTTGTCCTAAAGAGGAGCTTTAAATGATAAACACTTCATTGAATATAAATAGCTTCTTATGCTGGCAGTTTCATCACAGATTTGCCATTCAGACTCATTATTTTCCTGGTTTTGATTTTGGTTTATTGGCAATAATTAAATATCTTTACAAAAAGAAAAAGTTGTCTACTTCTTGCCGTCACTGTTGCTGGTGTTTTTAAGAGCTCAAGAACTATATTCTACTGTTGAGTAAACTCATTTCCTCACATTGAATACTAGAAAGTGGCCGACTGTAGAGATGATACAGCTGGGGGGGGGGGTCCTCTGGATCCTCAGTCTGATATTCATGAAGGGAAAACCAGATGCAGACCGCCGTCATACCGCCGGAGCATCAACAGACCGTTGTGGCATTTTTTGCCAAACACCGTGTAATATGAATTGTGCCTACAAATGTGTTTGAGTCCCATAATAAACATTTGTGGAGAGTGTGAGTGATGTATTGACAATGCACACAAAGAACAACCTTCACAACAAGGCCTCCTCAAACTAACCCGCTGCAGGCCCATGAAGCAGCGTTACTGGTGGAGCATGTGGTAGTACTGCTCTGTAGTAGTGTGTACCGTCTGCCATAATATTTACTGGACTGCTCACAACCAGCCAAGACAAATACAAGCTCAGATTTAATTTAGCGCATGAAGTCACCAGAAGAAGCTCAGACTTCAGGAGCATTTCAAATGTGAAAACTCTACTGATATATATAAATATATTTTTGCAGAGTTATTGATATTAACTGACAAGATGAGACACATTTTATATTTACGTCTTCTGAGGCTCAGTATTCAGAAGCAATGGTCCACATCATAAGTCCAGGGACTGTCGGGGGTCCTTGAAGAGGTTTCAGGGGTCCCAGTGTCATCACTTTTATTACTTTAATAAACCGTACACTAGTTTAATGTGTGAGGATCATTCTTACTTCATCTTTTGTCTAAATACAAATTTAACTACAAATATTCAGTTGCAGGAGTATTTTGATCTTTTACTAGCAATGCCATAATATAAAAATACTACGTAACAAATTAAAGTTCTGTATGTAGGTATTAACAATAAAATGTACTAAAAGTATGAACGTTAAAGTGCTCACTATAAAGGCAAAGTGGGGTCTGTTAGGGTTACATTATTATGTATTTGGTGAAATATTAATGCATTTAAGTTACATGAACACAACATTTCAATTATGTAGAGCTTATTTTAAAAAGATTTGTACTCAATATACTCTGTACACAATACACCATTCTGCTCATATGCTCATAATAGTTTCATTTAAATGAAATCTACAGTAACTAGCAGACAAATAAATGTAGTGGAGTAAAAGGTAGGCCTACAGTATTTCCCTCTCAAGTGTAGTGAGCTGGTATTAGTAGCATGAAACTAAATGACTCCAGTGAAGTATTTTAGTACCTCAGAATTGTACATAAATATGTACTTCTAGCACTTTTCTCATGTAGAACTTCAATTACAGCCCCGTGTATATAACGTTTCAGAAACATTATTAAAAGTTTCACCACCTAGTTTTAAGCCACAGACCTTGAACGTGTAACGCTGACACATGTTCGTACACAGGCCGACCCTAAAGCAGCTCACAGTCGTATCTCTGCCATGTTTACAAACTGTTGAACTGCGACAAAAAAAAAAACCTACCCGGCACTCGTACTTCGATGACGTCACGGTCAAACATGGCGGACTGAGCGAATGGGCGGAAAAAACAAACAACACAACTAAAGAGTTTGCTGAAAAACAAGAATAAAACAGCGAATACAACGTGTCAGCGGAGGAGCTTGTGACAGTCGGTTAACACGGAGATGCGGAGCGGCGGTCGATCCGTCGCTTCCGGTTCAGTGACCGATGTCGGAGCCGAAGACGCGTGTTGCTGCTCCGGAGTTCACTGAGCTGTGGAGGAGCGTCTCCACACTGAGCCACAACAACACAACACGAGACGGGACCGCTGGGCAGCACGTGGCTGGCTCATCGGCGTCGACCATGTTTAAAGGTGAGGATCGATCAGATCGATCTGCCGCCCCGGAACGATCGGTTAACCGACAGGATCCTACTGATTCATTGGAAACGGTTAAACCCTGTTCGCACACTTGGAGGAGGGGCCGCGGCCATCCGGACATCAGACGTGTTTCTGCATCACTGTTAGATAATTAACTATAATCAGGGGTGGGAGATGTGGCCAAAATCATCTGTCATCTCATATATTTAACCATATATGTCACATTATAGTATGTTTTCTGGTAGTTCAATAAATAGATAGTCTGCATGAAACAACCACATGATTATTCTTTATGAATTAAATACTCAACAAATGAAAAGTGCCGAGTATTTTCTCTTTTAATAAAGAACTTTAGTGCAAAATGAACATAACGGTTTATATTTTAGAGAATAAACTAATATTTCCAATTATACATGATGTTTTCATATGTGCACACAAATATCAATAGTACAATAGTTAGATTAACTGAGTTTAAATAGACTTTCTAAGAAATGTGCGTCAGTATGTGCGATGTAATCGTGCATCCTGATATGATTTCATCACAATATGATTGAATTACAGCCGAGTCCTCCTTAAATCTGACCCTCAGTTTTGAGTGATCTGTAGCCGTTAGAAGCCGACACTCTGTGCTGTTCACCAGAAGCTTCAGCACATGGACTGTGGAGGATTCAGCTGACAGGAAACAACCCTTCTGTCTGTTTCCCTGCACAGATTTGCGGAGTCCTAAACACAGAGGCTGCAGCAGGTACGCCGGCTTCAACAACGGGGACTCTCCAGGTGACGTGGAACCGTCACAAGACATCGTCTGGGATCCCACGTCGCCCACCTCAGCCGGTGCAGGTAAACCGCACCGAGACCTCTGAACGACGTCATGCACATGAGGCTGAAGAGGCTATTGCATAGATACAACTACAGGCATGGAAATGCATTGTTTTTATGTATTTGTTTGTGTTTTGGGGGTCAGGGCTCAGGAACACCAGAGTTGTGGCAATATCAGATATCGTCAACCGTATTGCTCCAAAGGTCAGTCGTTTCTGCTTTACTTTTTTCTCAATTATTAAGCTTCTTCACCTCTTTTATTTGAAAGAGATTCCTCATCTTTTTGCTTGTGTCTTACACAGGATGTGAAGAGGAAGGGGGCGGAGTCTTCTCTGCTGCAGTGGATAGGCGACAGTGCCGTCCCGTGCACGCCGGACATCCCGAAGCCGAGATTTAAGAAGAAGTCCTCTCGGTGGGTGTGATCGATTACTGACCCAGATACTCAGACGGTGGTTTTGTTCCTGACATCAACAAACACTATATGCAAATATTCATTCAGTTATTTTTTGCCCGTATCAGTGAGTTATTTAGAATTATCAGCAGTAGTTTTCCTGCTTTCTTTTCTGTCTTGTTGATGACTTTTCTCTCTCCAGGCAGAGCAGCGTGGATCTCTTAAAACTGGCCAGGCAGTTTGACGAGAACATGCAGCAAGACCGGGAGACCTCGGAGCAGCTCAACGCCGTCAGCGATAACCTCAAAGACTGCGCGAACACTCCCGAAACTAAACCGACAGATGCGTGCTTCCCTAGCAACGTGGAGGACCTGAAGTGTCCCTCCCCGTCCGATCCGGTGGAGGCGGAGCTTAACGCTCTGTTCGACTGCTCCACTCAGAGAGTCAGCGGCCAGCTCAGCCAGAGCTCCTCGGCGTCGGCCCGGTCGCAGGAGATAAAACGCCAACTTGTGACCCCGACCTCGGCTGAACAACGACAGCCAGAGCTCAAGTCGGCCGACGAGTCCGGCCCCGCCGAAGGAACAGGATCTTGTGGTTTTAACGCGAACCACTGCGACGACTTCGACGACGACTGGGAGAACGACGACCTCCTCAACGACTCTCTTGTGCTGGCGATGACCCACGATCCTGACCAGCAACACGACGCCCTCCCTAAAAGCACCTCGCACTGGGACACTAAGACAAACACCGCTCAGTTCACCTCCGTTCGTCAGCCCTCTGCACATCAGCCTCCGAGCTCGCACTCAAAGCCGAGCTGCAGCACTCTCCAGGAACTGTGTCCCAAGCCAAAGACTTCCAACAGAAGCACTTTCATGTTGGAGCCCAACCCTCACTTCCAGACCGCGGCGGTTTCCAGGCCCGGCGTCGCTGCTCCACAACCTAAATCAAAGACGTCCGACCAGACATCTGCCACCACAAAGACTCCGTCCATCCCGATTCCCGACAAGATCGCTAAGTGTGTAGCTGCGGACATTTCAGACAGCTTGTGGGACGACGGGGTCGACGACGCGCTGCTGTACCAGGTGTGCGACCGCGTGGAGAGGCTCTCCAACAGTCAGCCACAGCGACAGAGCCCAAGCAGCTGCCGAGAAAAGCAAGACGGACCGCAAAAAAACCCGGCACCTCCGCCGATCCACACGCCCCGGTTGGTGAACGGCGGCGCTAACAGACAGTCTCCGTGCTCTTTTGTTCGCTCTAACTCGTTACCGGGGAGCGGCAGCGGTGAAAGTGGGAACTACCAAGGATGGAACGTCCCCATGAAGGGAGCCAACAACAAACCGGGGATGTCCCAGAGCTTCCCAGGGAGCCGCGTGGGTCTGGGCTCCTTCAACCAGCGCCGGGAGGACACGAAGCCACAAGCAGTGAACTCAAAGTCCCATCAACCAGCCTTCAAGAGAAACGTGTCCGACTCAGCAGCTCCAAGCAGCAAAGGTACGCTGTCAGATGTTTGAGAAGAAGATGTCAGTCACAGAAAACAAGTCGATGCATTTGATGAAATGTTTGAAATCTCGACGAGGGTTGACCATCGGTGGTTTTTACAAAATATTTACACAAAGACATGTTTGATAATTATCCATCAGTGATGTGGATATCAGGACAAAGTGGTTAAAGGCAAATAATAGAACAGTTTGTACATCACCTCACTGTAATGCAGCCTTTAAAGGCAACACTTCATCATATTACGATGTCCAAAATCTAAGACGACATCTGGTCTCATTTCACGATATCGATATTTTATCGACGTCTCACCCGGCCGTCAAACTCGATGCATGTTTGCAGTTTACTTCTATCCCATCTTCTGTCCCCGGTACTTTGCTATAAGACTTCATATTGAGAAACTCACAAGTGAAACAGATGTCACATGTTGTTCTTATAATCACTGGTGGTTCAGCCCCCCCCCCCCAAAGCAAGTAAACACAGCGCCGTTTAATTTGAGCTGCTGTCAAGAGTCCAAACCTCTGGAAGCTTCATTGCCAATCAATTGCAGACTGAGGGGGGGGGGGGGTCCCCCACTGGTTCTGGTTATAGTAGTGAAATGTTTATGTGATCAAATTAAGACCCCATTGTTCAAAGTCATAGCAACGACAAGTTCTGACTCATATTCATTGTGTCTAGTCATTTTTCTCGCTTCTCTTTTGCCCGTTTTTCTAGTTTTTGTCACGAGCCAGATGCCGTTAAAATGCACCGCGGCCGAGATCGGGAGGAAGAAGCAGGAGGCTTTGGCCCGGAGGAGGCTGCGAATGCAGAACAACCCGAAACCGTAGAGGAGCCTCGCCCCGACTGAAATACACCTTTAAAAACCTCTTCCTCTTCTTCTTCCTCCTCCTCCTCCTCCTCCTCCTCCTCCTCCTCCTCCTCCTCCTCTTCTTCCTCCTCCTCAGGTTACCGATCACTGTGGTCAGTAGTTCAGTGCTACAGAAGTCTGTGGGAGGAGCTGCAACACGTTTTATGTTTGAGTATCAGATCTGGTGCTGGACAATGTTAAGAGAGATTTAGTTTAGTTTTTAGTATCCACCGAGTTTGAAATTATTCTCAATGCTGAACAACATTTTTCTGTTTTTCAGCATCATTTCATCTCTGCACATTTTGGATAAAATATATATGTTTGTTTAAGAAGTATTAAATAGTTCCATCTGTGTTCCTGCTGTATGTTTGTGACAAAACGGATTATGTGCAACTTCTACATGCTTCCAGTTTTGCACAGGTCAGAATTAAGTGTCCCGCTCTAAAGACATGTTATGACTCACAATTTATTTCTATATTCACGTTATGCAGCTGAGGAGGACGGCCTCGCTACAAGTCCTAGAAGTTCAGATCAGCTGTGTCATGAGGGTAAACCTGAGGTCTACGTCTGAGTATCTCTGAACGGATGTGACTCCATTCCCTGTTACTGCCCATGATGGACTATAAACGTCTCCTAATTCATCTGTCAGGATGTAACCCAAAACAGAAGGAATGAACGTCTGAGACTGAATAAACTGCTACAAACGTACCTGGTGTGAACGCAGCTTTAAATGTGCTGACATTGTTTTTTATAACTCGCACCACACGGTTTAGTCTTTTGTTTCTGATTGTATATAAGAAGTGAACGTAGTCACTGTGACGTCTCATTTTTTCGCAACTAATTAACAGACATGACCATATATGGACTGAGGAGGAGTGACGTAGAGACCTGTCAATCAGCGTGTAGCC